AGTAACTCCAATGATCCATCATACATAACCTCATAATCAGGTACAAATGCCGGCGGAATCATATCTTCCTGCAACAGACATCCCATCCTGTTATTGAACTTACATATGTTTCCCTTTCGAGTATTTTTAGCAATGGCCTATCTCTAACTAAACTCTTCTGTTAGAATGATAATGTGCTTGTAAAAACACCAAAATTCTGAGACTAAACCCTTCGTACGAAACGCTATTGAGGGGACCGTTTTCTATGAAGGATTCCTAATGCTTCCCTGCTCTCAGTGCAGTAAATGTATATCTCCCAACGACGTGAGAAGACATCTGCCAAAGGATAGGATTTCGCGGCTGTTTGAATCGTAGTGGTCCTTTTGAAAGAGATATTGCTTATGTTTTGCAAGGGTCCGCGGTGAACTAGCCATTATTTTCATCCATCCAGACAGCTCTCCTTCTTCAGCTTGCCCACTCGGTGGGATCCGTCATTCTGGGACGATTATGCATCCTTCCAGACAAGTTTAGTACCAGTTACTCGGTCCCGGAGTAGTAAGAAAGAAATCATGGGAGTAGCGAAGAAGACGAAGAACACCAAGCTCCGTGCCCACCTCTTCGATTCCGCGGTCCTTCCTGCCTTGACGTACGCCTCAGAGACTTGGACTCTACGAAAGCAGGATGAGCATGCGGTTGGCGTATTCAACGCGCCATCGAAAGGGCGATGCTCGGAGTTTCCCGCTACACGCAAGTGAGAGAGGGAATCCGGAGCTCCGCACTCCGCCGTCGATCGAAGATTCTGGATTTTACGGGATGTCAAGCGAACGCCTGGACGACCGCCTATGCGATGGTCAGACTTCTTCGTGAAAGCTCTGAACGAATGGTATGAAGTTCATCGTGTCCCTCGAGCAGAGAGAGTCCATTGGGCAACTCTTGCACGTTGCAGGGACGAATGGAGACGTTACTGGCGCCCGCTCGAGGAACTCGATGATCAACGGGAGCACAGGTGACACAGATGATACCGGCTCGGGAGAAGGAAGGTAATTGGCGCGGGCGATAGCTGAGCCAGAACTTGACCTCCCGATTTGGACGATGATCGGAGCCACTTGCCATCATGGCATCTCCGCGCCGAATTATATGTGTAACACTTTCAAGGAAATTCACAAACTGTTGTTCGACTCGAGTTTTTGTCTCTTTATCCGTCCTCCAGCCATCTGATGCCGTAGTATAGCGTGAAAGAAGTGAGAGCATAACTAGCAGTTATCTCCGCTACTCATCTGACATAAATAGAGAAACGGACCTTGCTCTGGAACCATTCGGAAGTCGCCACCATGTTCATACAGTCCATTCCAGCAAACATTCTGAGATCGTCTTCCCATCGTGTTCGTGGCCTACGAACTGCTCTGTTTCCGGAATGCTTGAAGGAAGTACTTCCGGAAATTTCTTGATATGTTCGATCCTCATTCCCTTCTTTGGATCTGAACCCTTCAGCTTTTTCTTAGCGTGTGGCTTGCCGCACGAAGATTTCGCTGTCGTTGGGGAGTGGTCTGTATTCCTTTCATGTATTAATTTCGAAATCTGAAACAAGCTTTCTCTCCTTCTCCGTTCATGTTGTAGGAATAGTGAAGTTTGTTCTTGAGGTTGAATTATAATCAGGGATAGGACATGGCTTGTAAATGGAGAAAATTTTTAAAAAATCAGTATTGCCTTGTGGAATGTGATTATCTCCATTTAGGTCTATGCCAGGCTGCGAGCGCCGAAGGATGGAATTTACGGTGGTACCATTGATGCGTTGGTCACTGGTGGAGGAGGATACAGAATTGTTTTCGACAAGGTCTGTAGCAATCCTACAATTTTCTCCCTTTATTTGTTGGTTTGTGAATTTCCTTGAAAGTATTACATATATAATTCGGGCGCGGAGAT